CATGTACGTGTGATTATATGAAACTTATATTTTATCATATTTATAATATTGAAGTAAAAATAAGAGTAAATTTCCAGTACTTCCTAATGTGTGTTGTTACGCTCGAAGAAAATATTTTTATTTCACTTATGTATAAGTGTTTCCATTTTGTGGGTGGTACTCTGTACATTTAATTTTTGTCGTCACTTATAACGTAGTTTGTTTTCTCTAACCAAATTTAAATAAACATTATACTCATCATATATAAACAAAAATTTCAAGAGTTACCACGTATAATTTCATGCACTGATAATAAATACTTATCAGAGTAAACACTATATTATACAATAATTGAAAGTATCTGGACCGCATCAAAATTGATTTCTTTTTTTAAAAGTATTACGAAACCAACCCAGTAATATTGGTTGTTACTACTGTGGTTATGATCTTTAAAATTTAGACTTTTTCTAAGGTATCGTAAATAAATAAAATTTTGATACTCAACATATGTACAATTCTATATTAAATATTAAAATGTGGTAAAATATAAAATTGTTATGATGACAGAGTGAAAATAATATTTCAAATAAACTTTGTGATGATACACATTAATAAAGACACCAAGTTTGGTTAAAGAAAAATTTTCTTTAGTAGTTACTCGACTTATATCTTCAATCATATTACATGCAAGAAATAAAATTCGTATTATTAATTATATATTTCAAGTATTATCTGTACTTAGAAATAGTAGTAAGGAAAAATGGAGAACAAAAACAAAATCTAAGTCCTATAATTCTCGTGAGTAACATATGGATATTATTATTCCATCTCGTTTCAGCTCATCGAGATAAAACTTGAAACTCATATTTTCAGTTCTCTGTATCTTTAGCGGTTCACATTTATTAACAAAAAATAACATAGTTCCTTTCATTCACACATGAACACCTAAATGCATGTTAAATTTCGATCAAACTTTTTCATCAGCACAATGTGATATACGCATTGACAAAAAAAAATATTCAATTTCACATTACACTGCTAAATTCATTTCATCTTCACATCCTTAACCTTAAACATTTCTGGTTATTTTGTAGAACTATTTTCAATATATTCTTAACAGTAGTATATATAAAATCATATACTATTTGAACAGTATCTAAGAATTATTTAATTTAAGATTAAAATAAAATAGAAATTTAAGATTATCATAGATTACTTAAGTAACTCGAATGCTTTAACCAATGTATTCGACATATCCTCTTAGTATTCCAGCATAGGAAGATTCCAGAAATGTGTAAGGAGAAAAGGAGAGTTTGAATCAGAACGCAGCCTGCAGCTTACTACCTTAGCCTGTAGCCTCTATGTAGATTCTTTGTAGTCTTATATCCATTACGTTAGTCTGTATTTTCATTATTTATTCTTTTATTGATAGAAGTGTGCGTGCGTTAATTTCTATACAAATAGACCATTTTTGTACGGTCTTTTTCAATAAAAAACGGCGGGAAGGAGGAGGGCGGGAATAACCAAGTTACTTGACTAACGTACGTCATGGGTATTGTTTCAGGAGGCTCAGGCTACGGCGGAAAGCAGAGGGGAGGTGGTCGTCAGAACCAAAGGCACCAACCCTATTAATGGAAATCATTCATTGCGACCGCAATGCAATTCGCATTGTAACCGCTGGTGAGTCATAGCTTTCCTCTGACAACTATAACTTCAGTATCGACAACCTTTCTCTTCCTTTTCCAATATCATTTAGAACGGCTTCAGAAATAGTTGTTCATACTAACATGTACAAGCATATTCCTGTTCCTAGACTCATGATCCTCCATGGTAAACGCGTATGTTGTTCTGTTGGTAGTCGTTTAATGATTGAGTTTGTTTTGTATTCTTAAAGGGACGAACTTATTTTTTTTTTACAGTTCCATAAAATGTAGATGTTTATGTAAAATTTTGTAGTTTCCAGGGATATACTACTGTAATAACAAAAGTGATATTCTTATTGTATAACTGTGTATCCTGTATAATTATATTTATAGGGGGTTTACATCGTGATCGTGTCATTAGTCAGTTTCATTTTGCAGGAGTTTTAATTACTTTGCTTTAATGTTTTTGTAATAGCGCGAATAAAAAATTAATGGGTTTGCTTGTTTAATTGTTATGATAAAATTATTTATTTATAATCATTTTATCATAACTACAGATATCGATATACAATTTATTTGAACGTATTCACTGTAAAGGGAATGTAAGCTTTCCATCAAGTTCGAAGTTTTTATTTGTACGAAAAGAAAGTGTCTCTACACGAGGAATAATATGTTTAGTAAACCAAAATTTGTATCGTCGTTTATTTTACTGATTTTTAATTGCCAATAAAATGACTCACATTTATTTATAATATCCATTGTAAATATTTTCTAGGCATCTACGTCGCTCATTGCAAATGTGTGTTAGTATGGACAGCCATTTTAAAACCCCCGTATAATTTTTTTCATGTGACCATAAAATATCGGAAAATACGAAAGAATCGATAGAAATTTGAAATATTTTAATTTTCTTGTCTTCTTTTCAGGTTTCCTACCCTACAACAAATCTCATAACTCGTTAAATCATCATTCCATTAAACCACGCCACTTTCAACAAGATTTTCAACAACGCAGATTACTGCCGCAAAATAAAACGAATCATCAGGAGTCACGACAGAAACTGTAATAACGTCACGTCTTGCGTCTAGCAATACATCTGCATTATCAAGACAGAAAACAAGAAGCAACATATAAACATATATATATTATATATATATACATATAGATTCACGATGCTTTCTTCCATCTCTCGTTTACCCTTTTGTACAAAGTCGAAAATGTTTCATATTTCTCATTGGTCTCTCATTTTTCATCTTATTTATCATTTAATTTTTTTTACCGCGAGTACGTTACGTGGTTCAACGTAAGGCACTGTCGTATCATAATATGCTCGAAAGTTTTGTAGGGAGTAAGTAATTCCATACAAATGGATAATTACATGTCGTAAGTCGACGTTACACCTTATGATGAAGTATTGTAACGTAATATACAACGTGTTTGTGCAAATGGGAAAGCAAAAGATGATAGGAAATAATTTAAATACAGATATTAGGAAGAATCAAGTTTTCTCATTCAACGCCATAGGGACTGTTGAGAGACTAGCAATTTTGTCCCTATTTTCAACAATTACATTATTTTAATTTGTCTATAAAAAAAACTAAACTTGATAAGATGCGAAGCCCACTATAGAAAAGTAAGCAGGCAATGTACTTTTTACACGGCTACGTTAAGGAAAAAAACAAGAAACGAGAAGTACCAAGTTGTTTATAATGATTGTGTGAGGTATGTGAAATGAGGTAAAAAGATTATTGCTTCCTTATTGGTAAGAGAAAATAGGATAAAATAAATTCATTTTGTGTACATAAAATATATCTCGCGTATGCTTGTATTTGTGTTAACCGATCCTAATAATTTAATTTTCGGAAGGGAAAGAAGTATAATATGTACACAATATTTTAAAACATAGTGAACGAACGTCTATACACTAGATTTAAAATAAGACTGACACGGAGGTTTAGTGTGTTTTGTATTACAAACAATATTTTGTTGATTCTACTACCAGTACATGTAACAAGCTAGATATACATACATTATTTCAGTTTTAACTCTACACTCAAGGAATAGCACATGTACATTATATATATCGACGATTTCATTCTAGGCAAAGAACATCGTAATAAGGTTTTTAAAATGAAAGAAAATATTGTATTTTTCTCAAATTCAACACTGTTCCATGTCACAAAAGTATTACATTAAAAAAATTAGTGTAAAGTGTTGTCTTTCTTTAATTTCACTACTCAAGTATATATATGTTTTTTTAGAACTCATTTCGAGATATATGTAGCGTTCGAAGTAAAAATAATTTATGAATAATTTTATAATATCTTTATTCTTATAAATGTGTACTTTTAAACATTCTTTTTTAATTGATACAACAATTTTACCTTATTTTTCCGTTGAACCATTTTTGTGCAATTTAGATTACATTTTTAATTGAAACTGGCTGAAAAATCGTTTAGTAGTGCCAAAAAGATGCATGAATTGAAAAATTGTTGGTCCACTTGAAATCAGAACTGTAATATTTTCCTTTTCTGTATTACAATTAGACATTGGATGCCTCTTGTATAAATTTTATACTTTAATACAATTTTATCATTGTAATATGTTTAAAATTGCGTTTTTTTTTAAAGAATGGAATTATACAAAGTCAACTGCATTCGTGAAAATCATGGTTATCTCACTCTTTTTTGTATAAAACAATCATTTTATACATCATTTTAAACGTCGTCAGAATTTAATTATATTAAAATTTATATTACTAATTGTAAAGATATTTGAGTATTTAAAATTGATTGGTAAGTTCGTATATATTGAAAGGTATAAATTAATGTCACAAAAAAGACTTTTAAAATAATGAATGAAAATTCTAAACAATATAAATTGCATTTATTATATTATTTTAATTTGCATTTATAATATGTAAAACTTTTAATTGTACTAAACATTAATAAAATTGAACGAAAAAGGCTTATCGAAGTTTTAACAAAAACTTACGTTTCGACAAATATTTTAAGAAAAATTAAATAAATTATTTCATTAATTTCTTTTTCTTTTTGACCCGAAACCTACAGAAGAAATGATTACGAAATATTTTCTAATGTTTATGCATTAGAACAAAATATGTCAATGTCCAATATTTTGTAATCATCTATATTTTTTTATTTAATTTTTATTTGCCTTCCTATTCAATACTGTAATATAAGTATATAATGTATAACCTGTTAAATGTCCTTTTATAAAGATTCACAAAATGTCGAAGGTAAGTATCAATTATCCAAAACAGCAAATGCTGAAATATGCAAAAAATGTTTTATTTAATAAGTGAAAGTATAAATATTTTATTCTTCAGTCTAATAAATTTATGAATGCGTATACTGCACGTTGCAAGTAATATATGTAAAATGTGCATCATATAATGTTTTATCGACATTGATTCATAAAATATTTTTCAACTCGTACAATATCTTGGATAAGCACAATCATGCTAAATATTGCTTAAATAAATGTTTATTATTAAATTAAATATTTAAAGAAATTGTTGCACGTCTCAAATCAATTTCATAAAAACAACTACTTCAAGCAAAGGTTGTAATAGGTTAAACCTTGAATGTTATTAAGATTATTTTATTCTAACCTGGATCTATTCGACAAATGCATTAACCGCACACTTTATTTACCGCATAAAATAAATGTTATAGATTAAACGTAGAAATTAATTTTTCTATAGTATAGTAGATGAAGTAACAATTCACAAACTATTATTCTGAATATCCAATACCTTTTTCACTTTACTAAAATCTGCTGTCTCATTGGAAAAAACCTGCTTATCTTACTAAATATTGCAATCGTTTATTTCAACATTTCTTCTAATTGGTTCATTCCTAACTACCATACTATCTAACCAATCAAAATCATAGTACATTGGGGGAACTATGCTTCTGGACTGGTTCAATTAACAATGTATTTAGTTCTTACAAAGTCCGCAAAGCTTCGACTTAACTGCGAGAGTCGTTCATCTTTATACGACCGGTGCTTCTGTGCAGGTTCCGCTGCATGTGCTGACATCAAGGTGCTCGGAGGACTCATACATTGAATTGTTTTTATAATTACCATTATTGTGAACTGTTGTTACCCACGCAAACTTTTCGTTATCGTAGCAGCTTCTTATTCCGCTAGGAAAAACCTGTGACTACGTCAAATAGAAGCAGTTCCGTCGGGTGAGTCTAGAACGCCATAAGATCTGTGTTCTTTCATTCGATCACTCGGAGGGAAGAGCTTCTAGGAAAGCGAGCATGGGACAAGAAACTTATTACCGCTTATAAACAATATTTACTATTTGACTTATTAAATGTATTAATATTTATTTTGAATGTTTTCGAAATTTTACATTAATATGACTAGCGTTATGGATTCTTGAATGAAGAAAAATCGCCATGCTTGCTCGTGCAACCGGGCGGCCCCCTTGTTCTCGAATTCTTGCACAGTACACGAGTTAGGAGATCACTTGTTTTCGAGGAACTCTTTTGAACACGAATTTTCTATTAATTTTTATTGTTTACAAAAATGTATGTTCTAATACGTGTGTTGGTGGTTAAAGGAAGTTTAATAGAAAATTGTTGAAATTGAATATTTAAAATTCGGTCGGAGATTTTATTGTGTTTATCGTGTGTGAACAATACAGTTGTATATTTATGTTTGTTTTGTAGGAAATTGAATTAAGTGTCGTGAAACGTACAGATTCTTTTGAAAAAATATATGAAACGCTGTTAATTTTCTATTATTATTGTTTGAAAATTTTCCTACTGGGCACATCACTCTCAGGTGATATTCAAAGAGCCACTTAGATTGATGTGCATGTCTGCACTTCTTACTTGAATGTATTTTTGTTCTTTTCTATTACAAGTTGACTACAGATTTGATATGTTTATAATAAAACTGAATTTTTGTGTGATAGAATACTCATGTGCACAGAGTATTAAAACATTCATTGGAGGTTCTATTGAAGTTTGACTTGTTTCTAAATGCTTAATTTGTATTATAATACTATTGAAATCGTTTTAAATTGAAGTTGAATTTAAATTATTGTATGTAGTTAGAAGTTTGAAATACTTCGATGTTATACTGAAATAGTTGCACATTGGACTTAAATTTCTAACCGTGTATCATTTATCTTGAACTTTGCAGTATACATTAGATGTAACAATAAAATAAACACTTATGATATATTATTTAGAATTTTTTATATGATTATAATTATTATGTTTTATATCTTTAATATAAATAACAAGTAACATGTAAAATTAATGTGTATCTACCATGGATCTATAGGGTAATAATTTGAATACACTTTTCATAAGTTATAATGGTTTAATTTAATGAAATTTGATTGAAATTTGATTATTTATTTTT